GTTAGCCATCGTTGAATTTCATCACATTCAATTAGTTTTCACTTGATCCATCTTAAATATGTAATCATTCACATCCAGTTTTCGTCAGATGACTCACAAATGATCTCATTTTATTCAACTAGTTATTCTATACTATATATGCGAAAATTTATTGACATAGAGGTTGAGTGACACATGAAAGTAGCATGCCTTTTTCTTTCTCATTACATTTCCAATTCTGTTTTTTTCATAACCGTAACAATAAATATTTCGTTTATTCTACTTTTCTTCTGTACCTTCGGATGCATTCAAAATAATACGCTGTACTTTTACAACGTAAAAAACAGTCTAATGACTTCTGTAAAACAATGTGAAATTGAGGAATGCAAACGAAGAGCAGGCGCACTATGCCATCATTGTAACAAGGATGTTTGTAAAATACATTTTAATGAACATGCCAACTCACTAAGCGATGAACTTCATCCACTTACTGATCAGATCAATGAACTCGCTACCAAACTCAGTGGTTTAAGTTCATCGCACGTAGCAGGACAATCTTATACCTTATTGGACGAATGGAGAAATAGCAGTTATGAATTAATTGAGCAACTGTATCAAATTAAAAAGCATGAAATAGACGTATTAGTGAAAGATAACTTTATTGAAATCAAGAATGAGAAATTGGAAATGGTCAGAAGTCTCGAAGAAAAGATCAAGAAATGCATTCGTGATGAGGATGTCACACATGATGTAATTGCAGAAATCAAAGAAACAATTAGAAATCTTGATAAACAAATTACTGAATTAAAACAGAATTTTATCCATGTACAAACATCACCGTTCCATACTGACGAAAACTGCGTTACTATCTGCGCGAAATTTCTCTCACATAATAATCAGAAATGTAAGTAGATGGGTGTTTTAGAGACTAATTCTAATAATTGTTAGACATAATTCTACTCAAGAATCTAAGCGATTTGCGTTGCCATTGTACCGTTATACACAAAAGAACTTCGAGAAATTGACTTCGGCTAAATTGTTTTTATACAGCATTCAGATCTCGACGAGCTCTACCTGATTAGACCAATGTTATTCTAAAACTTCATATCGCAATTTGGTTAGATCAAAAGTAAGAATTATTTTCCATTTGGACCAAAAGGTTTCTTTCTGGAGACTAGGTTAATCAATTAGGTTTTCTTCAAGATCAGCTGATTGGTGTATGATAAATGATAGTACCATAGGCGGCGGAGGTTCGATAGGCTTGAGTCACACTAGGTTTCGAGAAAAAAGTAGATTTTTTTGCGAAAGGCTTATGAGTTCAAGGTATTCAAAACGGAAAAGGTGTACGTGAATGAAGTATATATATTAGTCAACACCGTAAACATGGAGTTTGTTTATTGTTTTAAATTTTGAGTCGCATTGTTCATAAAAATATTAGCTTATTTCTATTTTAGTTCTGACCGTTTCAGTATTTTATACACTTTCATTAGCGGAAAGTAGGCAAGAAAGTTGTAAAAATACATTTTTAAAAACGAAAAAGAAAACGCGTTTTCTTGTCAGTTTTTTCACCCCTGGGTTGTTTATGTTAAAGAACCAGTACAATTTATAGACGGCATTCCCTGAGACTGCTGAGCTTGGTACGTGGAAGAATGATATATTCATCTTTTTATATATTTTTATGAATATTCCTTGTCTCTCTTTCTTGCGTATTTTCCACTAATGAAGGTGTATAAAATACTGAAACGTGTTGTCAAAATAGAAATAAAAGCTAATACTTTTCACTTTCTTTTTCCTATCAGTTTTATTCGGAGAACTTCGTTTAAATACTTCTTATCTTCTAGCTTCAAAGTCCCCGTATCAGACTCGATCGAAGTCACACCCAAAATTGACGATCACATTCCCCGATTCATCTGACGATGATGAAATGAGTATTGACAAGAGAAAACGTTGGTCCTTTTCATTTTCAGAAAAATCCGATATAAGTAACTATCGACGCAGATATCCAGATGCAGAAGATGATAAAAGACTCAACGACAATTATCGCTTTTATACAAATCAAATTCGATCATATCCCGATGGTGATTATATCGATAAAATACATGATGCATGGTATGGACAATTCGAAGCTTTAGAACGACATCACGGTAATGAGATCAGTGACATTTTAGCAGTAAGAAGTATCGTAATTAGTCAAAAATCACTTTGTAAACAGGTTGTATTTAGTAAATGTTATAAGTTGAAGTGTCACATTTTTACTGTTCATCTTAGATGTGCGGACAAGATCGTTTAAACTCATTTATCTTACCAATGATATTCCTTTGTTTTTTTCAGGATATATTCAGTGGTTATTTCCAATACAAGAGCAAAGCTTAAACTGGTCAGCTCAGCCATTACAAAAACATGAAATTGAGCTCATACTCAACGATAAAATGGCTCACAAACGTTTATTACTATCATATAAACTAATGTTAAATTTTTATGGTTTCGAACTGGTGAATGAAGAAACGGGTGAAATTAAACGCAATGAGGATTATC